TTCTCTAAGGAGTTAATACAAAAAAAATGACACAGTAAATGAGTAGATGTGATTTATTTCTAAGATTATTCTTAAAAGACACGCATCACCCTTATATACTATTTGGGAAAATGAAAGCAGTATAAGGGAGATAACACATTCAAGGTATTCAGCTTGAAATGCTGGAGAGGATTTTTCTGCCCCTCCTCACCCCAAATAGTCGATTGCAGTTCAAGAGAACTATTCCAGTAGGAATGGACTAAACAATATTATTCTTAACCCTGACCTGAATAATAAGATTTCATAAGATACTTTTACAAAATCTACTCTGTTGGCCAATGTATACAATTACACATAAATAACCAATGCACTGGCATGAGGCAAGCAGCTGCCTGAGGAACTGACTCCTCAGGAGGAAAAGAGTATGGAATGCAGTGGTAGAGATCAAAGAGCTGCTTAGGGCCTGTTGGTTATGTTACTCTAAACCTACTCGGAGACTGAATTGAGACTCTTGGTAGGCGGAAAGTGATGGGAGTGGGGATAAATTCCTCCTATTACCACAACAATTTGCTTCTTAAACCTGCATCTAAAGCTAAATATATGGAAAGGAAGGGCAGAAGAAATACTGGGATTTGGGGCGATACTGAACATGTGAGAGTCATCCACATGGTTCTGGTTATATATAAAATGCTCCATGGATTTCAAGGATTACTTGTAATGCAGTAAAAAATGTGACAAAGGAATTAAGAGCAATGAGTGATGTGAACTGGATAAAAGAGATCTTTGAAAGCTGATGACTTCTGTTAAAACATTTCACTAGTTTATTGCCTTTAAAGCAACAGGTGCTTCACCATTCTGTCTCTACTTTTTATCCATGAAGTGACAAACTGTAAAAAGTTCTGTGTTCTTTGTTGAACATTCTTTGGTCTCTACGTTTCTCAGGAAGAAAGTGGGAAAAGAAAGGAACTTCCTTACAATGCTTTCAATATGTCCAATATATACACATTGCATTAGACAAAATGTACTAAAACCTTATTCATTTGGGGCCTTTATTTTGGAATTTGTAATAGTCTGGATAAAATGTAATTGCTTTGATGTCTTTGAACTTTCTGTGGTATAACTGAAAGACATCTTTTCTCCTTAAACAAAACTTTACAATTGGAAATTTTCAGTCATTAGAACTTTTCTACTTTGTTGTTAATCAGGGAGATTTTATTGTACGTTGAAATAGACTACTGCCAGACCAAATGAACAATATTCACTGCATAAGCCATGCTTCATGATAAATTCTACAAAATAACAGAATATTAGCCAAGGAGACAAAAGTCATTTCTGGGAAATCTGGAAGCTCTGGAAACTACTCTCTCTGGCTTCTGATTACTGTTTCATCTAGTGATGGCCTAGTCTAGACTTGTTTTCAGGGACTGGAAGGAGGCTAGTGTGGCTTTTCTAACATGAGCATGGTAAAAAGAAATGGCATATGCTTATACATGTTAATTTTTTAAAAAATCATAGAATTCTGTCTGGGGAAGAGTGGCTACTGTCAAGAGATGCTGATGAGTAAGGAAATACACATCCTCTCTTCCAGTAACTGCTTTTTCTTTCCTGATCAGATCACTGAGCAGAATACTCATTTTCCCTTCCATCATAATTACCTTTCAGGAAGGACATGATAACTACATAAATTTTTGTTTATGCTCTAAACAAAAAATTTAAATTAGCTTTCAAGTGACTGAGGAAAAAACAAAAAGACTAGAGCCTTAACTTAAAAATCTCAATACCCTCCTAAAGTTTCATCAATGTCATTCATTGCAACCATATTTAAGTAATGTTTTTCTTAATAAATGATTAAGTTACTTTAGCTTATTTCCCTACACAGGAGAAGGTAAATACTACTTTGTGAACTCTTTCTACAATTATTCAACATCAACTTTTTTAATAAACATTATGTGCCTCCTACCACCAAGCACTGCACAGAGATAAAATGACAAATGAAGAGGCACTCCCCTCTCTAGTGGGTAGGCATAACAGAAGGTGGCTAAGCACTAGAAAGAAGTATGAAAAGAGCAACTAGCAAACATGTACGTCTCACAATGATAAATTTCAAACTGATAATTATTTTTCCAATGTTATCTATCAACCATAATATTTTGACTTCTTACTTTGCAAAATGAGATACACATCAGACTAACAATGTTTCAAGATTATGTAACTAAATTTAAATAGAAAACTAGTAACAGGTCTGGTATCAGTAAATTTATCTGGATTATGACCTCTCTTCTTTGGGCAGCTGAGAAATACAGCAAAGCAGTAATAAGGAACCTTCTGTGATGGAAGCTGTGAGCTAATTTCTGGAACCTTACACACTCTTGCAGCAAGGTCTCCTAGCAACTGAGAACTTCAAGTAAGCCTGGGGAAAGGGCTGCTATCAGAGGGCTGAGTCATAAACAGAGGCCACCACTGGGGATAACACATTTAGGATATTGTATCCCACAACATATGACACAGAGTGGAGCAAAGAAGGGATGGATTAAAGGATTCCTCTCTCCTTCCTCCCATCCCTTCTTGGGGAACAGCTGCAGTCTGTAGCTGCACAAGTATTTTGCAGTTCCGGACTGCAAAAGGCAAGTGATTTATTCATAAATATTTTGCACTGCTTTCCTCCCATGCTCCCACATTCTGTGTGATCTACTCGGACTTCCATATCCCCAATCCCCAGCAAGATTTTCCCTCTATATGCTTCCTCAGTTTACAGGAAACTCATGGTGAGGATGGCTAAAGCTTGTGGCTGAATACTGATGGTAATTTGCCTTTCTACCACCAAGTCCCTTAAGCCCCACACCCTAATCCGACACAACATTTGGTCAAGGACTGGAATTATTATTAAAAAATGGCAACATATTGCTTGCATACAAACAAATTTTATCCAAAACAAAAATAAAACAATTTTTTAAAAAACCTTCAGAAAGTCTAATGAAGGGGCAGATTTGCAATTTCTCATTAAAAATGAAAATTATATTACTATTTAAAAATTCTACTGATACTATTATTTTTTATGAATTAGTCTTTGTACAAAACAGATATTATACTAACTTAAAGTATCAACCTTAGTTTTGTTCATTGCTAAAGTGATTTTCCTAAACCTGACCTGGTCTGCTGGTGTATCCTTAGCCTTCCTCTGAGGAGCTTCAAAAAACCTTTACTAGATACCTTTCCAGAGATGGATTACATACTCACGATGCTTCAGAAAGCAAAGTATGTCATATAGTTGTTGGGTTTTGCCCCTTTGTTCATTTGGCTAACTTACTTGTTAAGAATTAATTCCAGCAGTTACCTCCTCCAGGGGTCCTTCCCAGAGTACCCACTTGGGGTTAAGTATCCTCTTGGTATGAGCTACAGAACCCTGAGTAAACTTTTATGAAAGCCCCAACGACTCTGTACTGGAACTGTCTGTGCCCCACTACAATGAATTCCTCAAGAACAGAAAGTATCTTTTTTCTCTGTAACCCCAGAGCCTATTACATGGTTATTATGGTTAAATGGTTAAAAAAAAGTGTGCCAGGAATAAATAGATCTTTATGAATAGGAATCAAGTCCAAATTTAAAGTGTGATCTTAAAAAACTAATTTATAAATAGATTTCAGTTGGGGCTGGCCCGGTGATGCAGCCGTTAAGTTTGCGCGTTCCACTCTGGCGGCCTGGGTTCACAGGTTCAGATTACGGTGCGGACCTATGCATCACTTATCAAGCCATGTGTGGCAGGCGTCCCACATGAAAAATGGAGGAAGATGGGCATGGCTGTTAGCTCAGGGCCAATCTTCCTCAGCAAAAAGAGGAGGATTGGCGGCAGTTGTTAGCTCAGGGCTAATATTCCTCAAAAAAAAAAAGAAAATTCTGTCCTTGAATCAATATGCAAAAGTTTGTTTTTTGGTGCTTATATATTTTAAATGCTAGTAATAGTTTATTAAAATATTTTTAGATAGCTAGGTATGTACTCCGCCATGTGCAACTGCACTAAAGAAGTATGTACACAAATAGAAATAAAGGCCTTCTGTTTCCTTTTGTTATAACCACAAACTACTGCACACTGTTAATTACTTTAGATTTAAAAAATGCCTTCATAACAAAAGAGGTAAAGCCATTAATAGGTGGTGGCAGTGTTAACTGTACCAAAGGATACTGTCTTATTTTTTTGCTTATTGTAGAGATCATGGAATCTCAGAGGCAGAATGCTCTGAAACTGGACTACACCAGCTGCTTCACACTCTCTTTCTACAAATCTGAATAAACAATCTAAGGGGTTTCATGCTTAACCCATGTTTGGCTTAGGTTTTAAGGGATTTCTTCAGCGTTAGCTTGGAGTTCACTGACATAACTTAATACAATGTCTAAGATAAAATTTTGCTATTAAAATGTATTTGTAGAAAATGAGCAGGGATGAGCCAGACATTTTACCAAGCATTGGCAAAATAGGTAAAGTTTACCAGCAAAGGTACTAAGATGCATGCCATTTGTGTTTCTCGATTTTATATATTAAATCACCAGTAAATAAATACATAGATTAGGCAATACAAAGACACAATACAAAAAGAAAAGTAATACACACATATGACTATATATTTTGGCAAATTATTTTTCAGGCAAAGTTCTGCTCTGTATTTGTGAAGTACAAACGTGGAACAAATCACTTAAGATCTGGCAAAGATTTGCCAAAATCTCCCTTTCTGTTTTTACCTTATTCTTTGGACATATTTCATAAGACAGCCATGCCCTCATTTAGTAATTTCTGAGGATACTTTAACAGTGAAGATTTTAAAAGATTCCATAATAGAATTTGCTATACAATGACTGAAAAAATCAAACATTGTTTTTTGTTTGGGTTTTTTTTTTTTTCACTTTAAGGTAGCCCCAAGCATAACTAAAGTAAACAAGTGCTAAATAAATAAGTGAAGAAGAATTTGCCACTCTACTACTTCGACGGCCCCTTCTACTAGTACTCACAGTCACTTCTCTCCCTCAACTCCTCCACCAACCTTCTGTGTCTTTTACAAGAGTTGGTGTCAAATGAGGAAACATGAGTTGCTACATCTTAACCTTTGAGCACAGGAAAGTAGTAGTATAAAACACCAGTGAATCATATACTAAGTTAGTAGAACTGTTAGCATTTGTTCAGGCAACAGTGAGGTCTGCACCAAATATGAAGTTCTTCGGGGTATATGTTAAAGAGAAATCTTTATCTTGACCCCTGAGAATCTTAGTATCTTATGAGAAACAAAACCAGTGAAAACTTGCAGTTTATGACAAGTTGTTACAAACATACCTTAAGGGTGGGCATGGACAGATCTAGCACCTGGGTAAACCTGCCCCTTTAAAATTTATTTGTGATTAACTCCTGTACACTTTATAATCAAGAGAATAACCTTAGTTAAATCTTAGGAAGAGATCGGGGGAAAAAAAGAGGAACAGCTATTTGTAGGCTAGAATAGACAGAGTCCGAAGTTCTGAAACAATTCAGGCAACCCAACCTTCAAACTTGAATTGCTAGTGAAGTCCCAACGAGTAATGATGAATATTCAAAGACTTGGACGGACTTTGTCACTTTGTTTAGTGTAAAATTAGTTTCTAAATATTTATGGCTATTGTTTGGATACTCTTTTAACTTACAAATTTTTAAAACTTTATGTATGTAATATATATTATTACCAGTATTAATAATATTCCTGTGAATTTATAGGTAGACTCCTTATAGGTCGACTCCTGAGAACGTGAATAGCCCAACTCACTTTCAGGATATAGAGTAAAGAGAACAACCTTGAAGAAGCTCCCTTGGACAATGGATGTTTATGATTTACGGAGAGGGATACGATACTAGACAAAGGCTTCTGTTCCGTTTATAACGCTGTAAACAGGATAAGCCAGTGCCAGAGGGCTAACAGAATGTACATTGGGCTAGAAAAGAGAATGTGGACAGTCACAACAGAAGTGAAGAACCGGTGAAAGGGAAGATTAAATACCATAAAGTAAAGGTAAATATCACAAATTATCTGATTGGAGGGGAATATCATCCAAAGGCTAGGAGTAATGCAGTGACATGATCAAAGCAGGGAACTGGAAGATAATTTTAGATATAACATTTGAAACATTTCATAACGTGAAGAAAGATGATTATTAAGAAGCTAGAAGGGACAAGGGATGTAACCTAAAAATTTAAAGCAGAGGCCCTTAACCTCACACTACGTGGTCATACTTCCTGGTGTACGTAACTCCCTGAAATTATATGTGAAAAGGTGTGTATGCACTTTTTGAGAGAGAGTATATAACTTTTATCACATTCTCAAACAGATTCACAACCTATTCAAAGATTAAGAATAAATGACAAAGTAAACATGAGTGATAACAGGGTAAAATATGAGTAAAATAAAATGCTCCAATTTTAAATATTGCTCATATTAGAACAGTGTATATAGTTAATTAACTTTAAATAACTGAGATGAATATCTGACTTAATCCATTTTCAACATATGGCTGTAGAGGTCTCTTAAAAAAAAAGGCTTCCCCGACAGGACTAAGTATAAAACGAGAAATCTATTAATTCCAGGTCCTTTAAAAATGTCTTACATTTTCCACTAGCTAAAGCAGATTAATTAAAATAAAGACTATACAGGGGCCAGCCTGGTGGCGCAGTGGTTAAGTGCACATGTACCACTTGGGGGGCCTGGGGTTCGCCGGTTCAGATCCTGGGTGTGGACATGGCACCGCTTGGCATGCCATGCTGTGGCAGGTATCCCACATATAAAGTGGAGGAAGATGGGCATGGATGTTAGCTCAGGGCCAGTCTTCCTCAGTGAAAAGAGGAGGATTGGCAGCAGTTAGCTCAAGGCTAACCTTCCTTAAATAAAATAAAATAAAAAAATAAAGAATATACAATTGCTGGTAGCCAGAATAAAGCAAAGCACTAAACGACATCACCGCTGTACAAAATTTTCAAATAAAAGCTTGGTCCTAATAAAATCTTATATGTATATCTGCACAATTCTTTCTTTAAAAATTGAGGTATAATTGACATGAAATACGATAATACACAATTCTGATTTTTGTATCACTGTATCTTTTCACTGATGTGGTGCCAAAGCCACTAGGCTTGCCTTCTCCAAACTAGGCACTATTCCATAGAAGGAAGCAGTCACCACACTACGCGTAATAAATACTTACAGCTTTTAGCAGAGAAATAAAGAGAAATATGGATGAGAAGAGATTGGAGAGCAAGGATATAGGGGGAAGAGAAAGTCTCCAAAAGGGCAAGGATGGCTCACTTTCACTATAAAGACCCTATTTGGAACCACCATAATTATTTAACTTCAGAACTATTAACTTTATTTCTATAATATCAAAGAACAGTGCTTTAATACATTAATGTTGTCTTGTAAGGTTTTAAGTTAAATGAAAACCTTCCCACTCAAGATATAACACCCAAAACTTTAACAGTGACTAGTCTTTTCAAGCCATGGTAGAGGGAAGATGGTTTTTACATGCTTTTTTCCTAAATTTTCTAAAATATACAAATATTTCAGGAAGAAAAAACACTAACATAAATAATTTTTAAGAATCAAGAAACAGCCAACAGCTCCAACTCCCTTTCTAATATATTTCAAGGATTTCAATATCCATAATAAAACAGTATTTCTTTAGTGTTTCAAGAAGCAATCTTTTCATGACTGTAATTTAAGGTGAATATGATGATTGCCTAATGGCCAAGTATACTAGTGGAACACAAAGTCCTAATGTAAAAACAAAACAGTAGCAGTGTTAACTAAGTAAGTCAATCACAAATAAAATAAGATTAAAGTTTTTAAAAGAGAAAAGTGTGTCTCTGGCTCAAACTACTGATTGTCCTCTTTCTATTGCAATGGGTTTCTGGTCCCAGTGTTTCCTTATAATCCATCTTTTCTGGCTTGCCATTAAAGTATCTTAAACATGGTATGTCTGACACTAAGAACTACTAGGAGAGAAGTCTTTCATATTATACTTCCATGTGTGCAGGACTGATAATTAGATGGGCTTTTAGGAGGCTCAGCTGTTCATTGTTTGTCCTTTGCAGTATGCAGTCACAGCGATGGGGAACGCACTGAAGCAACCCATTCAAAGCAGTACTCTACCATAAGAGTAAGCTCCTGACCTGGACTTTGGTCCTGGAGCAATTCCAAGCATTCCAGAACTCCCCAGGACTGTGGGTTTGAAAACCCACATATTAGGGATCTGCTTCTGATTTGAGCTGGTTCTTAACTGGGCAATTATGACCAAATCAAACTGAAAAAAACTTTGTCTTTAAAACACTTGATAGTGTGATTTAATCTCTTGGTATTTACACTGCTCACACACACAAACATAGAAATCAACCCATCTATAATTTCTTACTATGTATAATCTTCTAATTGTGTATACTAGCAAATGAGAAGAATGATTTGAGATTCCCAAACAGCAGATTACTAAGTCAATCATATTTTGCTCTGGAATATCTAGAACAATTTGTGGAAAAACACTGTGCTTTCCTATTTGAGGTTCATTTTGCCTAATTTTAAAAATGGTTTGCAGGGCACATAACAGCTAAGCGATGAGAGACTGAGGAAGGAGATGCCTGGAACTGTAATATGTAACAGGAAACACTGAAGGTATAAAGTTTCTAGTACATAACAGATAAATTATACAATATACATGTGGATAAACAAGACTTCATAAGGCCATATTTCTTAATTAACAGTAATCACAACTTTTATTCTACATACCACACATTCAGGGAACTTTCATACATGTCAATGAAAATTTTCTACACAGACCAGGCTGTACTTAAATATATGATTCACTTAAATATATGAGTCATTAAATATTATTTCTATAATAAATATTGAAATTATTTATAATTTAACAATCTTATTTATGGTTAGGTTATTAAGAGAATATATTCTCCACTGGTTTACTTTATCAAATTTTTACCACTTTTTAAACTATAACTTTTAAATTCATATACTACTACTATTGATGGCTTAGGATATTTTTGTGCACTGCTGTAATTCATAAAACTCCAAAATTCAAAGTAACAAAAGCATTAATTTGTATACATTATCTACTAGAACACGTCTTATAGAATAAGAGCAAACAGTAATTTTTTACTCAGGTTCAGCTAAACAAATATAGTTGCAAAAGGAAAGATTAAAAATACACTTCTGCTTTTATATTACAATTTGTTTTTCTTTCTTTCTTGGCCCCCCCAGAAAAGCACCTTCACAGATTTACAGTAGGATATATAAGTACTGTCCTTCCATTATACAAGGAAGGAAAGTAGACAACCTCTCATTCACACAGGACAAATAGCTATGCCAAAAGCACAAATTACATCTAATTACAGGGTATAACTCTGTCATCTTTCTTTTCATTATCTAGCCATTTATACACTTTGATTTTTGACTTCCATTTGAGTTTATTAACATCAAAGCTTTGTCATCACTTATCTGTTTCTAGAGACATTTTCACCTGAGGCAATGAAGTATAAAAACGTCTTTACATTCTTGCTTTACTGTTGCAAGAAAGCTTTAGTTTTCATTGGGGTTACAATGTTTCATGGTTATTAAACTTCTGTATGTTGCTGTAAAGTTTACCACCGTTGGCATAACAATTTTACAAGTACTATCATTAAACGCAACGCACTGAAAATACACTCCAATCCAAGTACCATTCCAGTAAGTTCTAGCTTTACCCATTGCCAATGTCTTATCAATGTCTTCCCCAGCCGTTCACAAAAATAATCACCACAATACTATGAACGACTTGAAATAAAAGCAAGCAACGTTAATTTCATTTTATAAATTGTTTAGGGCTCTCATAACAAATGAAAATAGCTTCATTGTATTAATTACATTATTGGGGTTTTAAAAATATTTATTGATATGCAATAAAAAAAGAGAGTCCTACATCTAATGAAACTTGCAAATTCACTTCCCAGGTTAATATATTTGTTTGACTGTTTAAACATGATGATACACATTCCTTGCTTTTATTTATTTAAAATCTGCGACCATTTGTTTCAGTCAGGTTGTACTCACAAAATATAAGTTCAAACTTGTATTTAAATATCAAAGAAAATCTTTAACGTTCTCTTAGATTTTTAATAATTTTTAAATTCAATGCCATGATGCAATATATTACTCATGTTAAACTCACAATACTGTCAAAAATCGTAATACTGTTAAAAAAGAGACAATAGATCCAAAATGCAGTCACTTGTACTAAACCTCACACAGCAAACTAAGACTTCATACCTAACTTAACAGCAGTTTCAGCCTCTCCCAGGAGTGAAATTTTAAACCAATATCAGTCTGGAATTTCCTGATCAATACTAGTGAAGTCATCTGCATGACAGACCCCTATTCTTCCCCCAAAGAAATGGAACCTTGTCTGAAATAATCCTTTCTTTTGTTCCCTTGTCCCACTCTCTTCTGCCTATAAAAGCCGTCCATTTTGTGTGGCTTCTTGGAGTTCCTTTCTACTTGCTAGATGGGATGTTGCCCAGATTCATGAATTGTCAAAGTCAATTAGATCTTCAAATTTACTCAGTTGAATTTTTTTTTAACAATACCAAGGTTTCTTAAAAATAATCTGTTAGATAATACTTTGAGCAACACTGGAAAAACCCACCAAAAGAAAGTCATTAGAAGTTTGTGGCAATGAGTCCTATATTCATCACAAGCTCTCATTCTTCATGATCTCTAACATGGCCTACGTTTCTCTGATTTTACCTCCTAATTTTCCAGAGCAGTTCAAATCAGATTCTTTTGGCTTTTTCTTTTTTTTTTTAATAGGAGGAAAGTGTGGAATTGCATCTATAGCCAGAAATAACCATACCGTCTACTTTCATGCCTGTTACAATGGAAGAAGAATCTTTGTTACTATCAAAGACAGTGAATGGAATACAATATTCTGCCATGTTTTCCTTGACAAAAGCCTCAAAATCCAAATTCCAGGTAGGTTATAAAAATAAATAAAACATAAGATTCAAGACTTTTAAGTCAGCCTGGATATCTATTTAGAGAGACCTCTAAAACTTACTTATTAACCCTCAAACGAAGTAGTTTATCTACCATGATTTGACAACAATGACAAAATAGCATCTTCTCCTGACCACTCTTAGCCTGTTCTACCTTTCTTGCTCCTGCCCTGAGCACTGGGAAATAACTTTCTGATCTGAGTGAAACCTTCTCTTTTCATGTTTCTTTGAGAGGCACTTCCACGCCCATGATTTCTCTTTTTCTAAAGACTAAGGTTTTGTCAAGCAATATATCTATCTCAATTTAAGTGATGAAAATGTAGCCAAACTCTCACATTCTCAGGCAATGACAACTAGGTCATGAATGTCACCTGGCCAAAAGGGGTTTTAAGACACCACTGACTCTAAGATGTATCCTGATTTCAGATATGCTAAAATGTTAGAAAAAGAAAAAGTCTCCTAGAATGAATGAAATGTAAGTACAAGAGTGCTGTGATACTCTAATTTCACTTTAATGTTAAGAATTTCTTAAGTTATTTGATATTTTAACAAATTATCTTTAAATATTTGGCAAATGCTATGAATCAGAACATAAAATATAGTTTCTGAGCTTAAAGGCTAATAATGCTGTTAATGAGGCTATATATTAGATACACTCATAAGAAAATGCAAATGCTAATTAATGGCACAAGCCAAAATTGAAACAAAATTAAACAAAGGAGATATTAAAGTAGGCTTCATGGAGATCATCTCCATGGATATAATTAGGAAGGTCAGAGGAGGGAATTCCTACTTACTAGCAGGAATTGATAAAACAGAAACTGAAAATTACATGGATGTCAAAAATTTAAAATTATACGCATGAAAAACTAGCTCTGAGAAGAAAGCATCAGAAAGTTTGTAAGACCTAGTGCTGTTTTGTAATACAAGTTTTTAATAGATTAATATTGCTGCAGTCTGCCTTAAACAACACTCAATCATAATCTAAGGCAGGGTACGATTAAAAGGCAAAATATTAGTTTAGAAATACGAATCAAGAAGGTCACTATATGGGATCTAAATACAAAATCACACCTACACACACGTTATCTCTAAGAGATGTTCTCATGTAAGGCATTTATCATGCCTGCAAGATATTTACATGGATCTATCTTAAACGTGTTTTTTCTCTAAGTTCTTTTTACTTAAATAAAAGCAAATAAAAACATCAAGAGACATGAAAACATATTTATAAAACGCTAATAATGATTAGATGAGAAATGATCAAAATTAGACCTGATGACTAAATCACAACCACAATTATACAAGAAAGTAACTCTACTCAGAAAATAATACATTATCTTAATTTACATAATAACTTTCCTCTCAGAAGATCAAGGTGATTCTCCCACACATTGAGTCACATTTTCATAAACCACGAAAGCCTAAGTTTCCTAAAGTATAGTTTTAAAATATGTGCTTTCTGGGGCCAGCCTGGTAGCGTAGCAGTTAAGTTCGCATGTTCTGCTTTGGCAGCCCAAGGTTCACCGGTTCGGATCCTGGGCACAGACATATGCACCACTTATCAAGCCATGCTGTGGCAGGTGTCCCACATATAAAGTAGAGGAGGACGGGCATGGATGTTAGCTCAGGGCCAGTCTTCCTCAGCAAAAAGAGGAGGACTGGTGGCAGGTGTTAGCTCAGGGGCAATCTTCCTCACTAATAAAAAAAAATAAAACTACCAAATGATCCAGCAATCCTACTCCTGGGTATACATCTAAAGGAAATGAGATCAGTATCTTGAAAAGTTACCCCATGTTCATAGCAGTATTATTTGCAGTAGCCAAGATGTAGAAACAACCTGTGTCCATCGATGGACGAATGGACAAAAGAGATGTGATACATATGCCCACACTCATGTGATGGAACATTATTCACCCCTGGAAAAGGAAATCTTGACATTTCCAATAACACGGATGATCCTGGAGAACATTATGCTAAGTGAAATAAGTCAGATACAGAAAGACAAATACTACATGATCTCAATTATATGTGACATTTAAAATAGTCAAACTCATGGAAGAACAGAGTAGAATGATGGTTGCCAGAGGTTGGGGGAAATGGGGAGATGTTGGTCAAAGGATATAAAGTTTCAGTTATGCAGGAAGAATAAGTCCTGGAGATCTAATGTAGAGCATGGTGACTATAATAATACTGTATGTATTGTATAATTGAAATTTGTTAAGAGGGTAGATCTTAAGTATCCACCCCACACACGCACACACACACATTTGGTAACTATGCGAGGTGATGGATATGTTAATTAGCTTGATTATGGTGATCATTTCACAATGTATACATATAACATCAAGTTGTACACTTTAAATATACACAATTTTTATTTGTCAATTATATTTCAATAAAGCTGGAGGATAAATAAAGTAAAAAATCCTTCCAGGAATGCTGCTAAAAATCTGGGAATGGGAGAAACTTACATTCTCCTTTCTTCCTCCCCCGGCATCACTTTCATCAAGTGCTACCTCTACTTAAACCACAGGAACCTTGTGTAACTCTGTCCAAGCATCTGTGAATATCCTAGACTTTACTAAAGCCTGGATAGGAGATGGGGGAGATCAAAAGGTAAAACAGAATTCAGCCTTTCCAACCCTGTCCATCCCTCTCCCTTCCGTTTCTATGCCCAGAGGTCCCTATATGCTCCAATTCTTCTGCTTCTATTATGCAAAGCAGCCTTCCCTCACCTTTAAAGCATGAGCCAGCCACATTCAGGTTCTTAGGGGGCTTACTCTCTACCAGAAACACTTATGTAAACCAAAACCATTTTCTCCCTAGGAGGAATTTTGGCCAGTTTTTTTTTTTTTAAAGATTGCATCTGAGCTAACATCTGTTGCCAATCTTTTTTTTTCTTCTTCTTCTTCTTCTCCCCAAAGTCCCCCCAGTACATAGCTGTATATTCTAGTTGCAGGTCCTTCTAACTGTCCTTGGCCAGTTTTAAGATGCAGATTGTTATATCTGTATCTTCGGTCAGTGCAATCAATATTATACAAAGTGTTCATCAAGCATTTAGTTACATTACCAAAATATAGTGTTTATTAATATAGTCGATTTTTGCCATATGTCAGGATTATTTTCCAAATTTAAAAATAATTGGCTTGCAGTTTACAAGTTGAAGCATCTCAATAATTGGGGAAAAAATGCAATTTATTTTATTTAAATTCTAAAATTAATTTGGGTATTTTAATGTGATTGCTTCAGGACAAAAGCTTGCTGTATAAAGACAAATATAAATGTTAATAGCCACAACTAGAAGGACCCACAACGAAGAATATACAACTATGTGCCAGGGGGCTTTGGGGAGAAAAAGGAAAAAAAATAAAATCTAAAAAATATATATATATAAATGTTAATAATACGAATTAAAAACTAAATCTCATACACAGTAACAGGTGACATGGACCCATCATTAAACTTTTGAGATAAAGGTATACCTATTATTATTACATTATAGGTTTCATCAATGTATTCACCCATTCAATAAGTATTTACCACACCTCCTATGCATGAGACTCTTGTCTAGGCTCTTGGGATACAGCAGAAAAGAGTAAGGTTTCTTAATTACTTATGTTTTCTACTGGGAATATGCTATGACATGTCTCTGTGACTCTAAGTGTGTAACTGAGTATACACTGGACATTTAGTAACTTAGCTGATTCTCAACATTTCTAGATATTGCTTGTCGATTATTTCTATAAATGCCAAACCAAAGTTAGACAAGGTCACTTAGTTATAAAGTGCAGTTCATTCACTCGCTCTTTGGATACTAAACATTTATTGTGTGACTGTGATTGTTTTTGGCACTAAGAATACAGAGATGAAAAAGACAAGCGGCCATTCTGGCAGGGAAAGACAAAAAAAAACAAGCAGACAAAAATAATTTCAGAGAGTGATAAGGTCTAGGAAAGAAAAAAAAATTATTAAATGTTAACAGAGGAAAGAATTCCAAAGATTTATGAATACAAACATAAATAAACATCAAAGGGAATCTAATATCCATGAATCTACATAATAAAGAATTCAGATTTATTCAGAATAAAGAACATTTATACATCATTATGGACTAGGTTATGCAAAATAATTTTACTTAAAAATTTTTTTTAAATGTAGTGGACAAATTTTTCATTAAAAAACAAATGAAAAAAATCTTATTATGAAGTCAGGGAAACGTACAACATCCAATGTCATATATAATTTGGAAATTGATATATAAGGCCAAAAAGTACAAAAATTTAGAGAATTAAATATTCATACAATTAGCAAATGAGTAAGAACAAATAAAATATTATCAATGTTGCCAATTGTGAACTATATTGTTTTTGATGTTTATGTTTCTTTTTTTTTTTTCCAGTTTTAGGTCTTATTACAATCATTTGTAACACCAATGGTTCAGAAAAGCTTTTAGTTTGATCTTACATGCTGTTGAGTTACTTAGTGATATGAAGATTTGTTTGTTTTCATCAGTTTTGGTTTACTAATATATTATTTCTAGCTTATAATAACAAAACACAATAATAGCTATAAAACTTTTATTATTGAAATTCCTGCAGGAAGAAAATAATTTTGCTATTGCAACTCTAAAACTCTCTCACTAACTGCTTTCCCCAATGAAATAACTTTTTAAATTTGTAAGATATCAAGGCTGATTAAGAACGCAGCTATCCCTATAAAGCAGAATGAATTGAAATAATAGAATAATTTTGTTTGTCTTCTCCTTTCTACCACTTCTTATCTGATTTTACTATGCCTCAACCAAATATAATAATGTTGTAAAGGGAATAACAGTAAAATCTTAGAATAGTTTTCAAACATTCTAAAGTGTTTCAGAAGAAGCAGTTTACATAAAACTAACTGATATGCTGACATGCCCTAAAGCAAGTTCCCTAAGGCTGTCTGTAGGAGGCAATACTGTGGTCCAGTTGTAATCACTAAACAGCTTTTGAAACAATACAATTACATTTTACATAAGACTTCTGCAACTCAATCTTTGCAAATTTATCTTCTAAATGTCTTTCAAATTCACCCACTAATTTAGCCATCATCAACTCTCTCCTGAATACTGCAACAGCTCCCTAACTCCAAGTTTCCATCATTCCCTTCACTAAAGTCTCAATACTCTTTCCAAGGTCAAAGCCAAATTTGTGATATAGTAATATACGTAATCCTTTATGCATTAAATAACATGATATGGTGGCGGTTTAATAAATACTCTACTTTCAAAGAAGTGATACTTTGAGACATCTGTAACAACTATAATATAATAGGGAAAAACGAGATTTCTTTTCTATTGATGACAAAGTCAGTTACTGTTACTACTACTACTGTAGCTTGTTGCCTACATTCATAATTGAAAAAATGTTAAATTGTAGGTCAGTGAAAATAAAAATATAACCTTCTACCTAAGTTCATAGACTCCCCGAATTCTATGTCTGGGTTTTTTGGGGTCTATGAGGGTTAAGAACCCCTACAATGGGGGCCAGCCCAGTGGCATAGTGGTTAAGTTCACGTGCTCTTCAGGCCAGGAGTTTGCAGGTTTGGATCCTAGGTTGTAGGAGCTCACCTACACACCACTCAGCAAGCCATGCTGTGGCAGCATCCCACATACAAAACAGAGGAAGACTGGCACAGATGTTAGCTCATCTAACATAAAAAGACAAAAAGAAAGAACCCCTACAATGGCTCCCTGCAGTCCTCAAGATAAAAATTTGTTCATGCGCTTAAGGGGTGCTTCATGATCTGATTCCCTGACACCACTCAGCCCTGGTTTGAGCCTTATCTTTTGTAGCTCACATTCTACTGAGTCAAACTCTTAGCTTCACACCTTTGCAATGCTATTGCCTTTGCCTGCAATATTCTTCCCATTCTGTTTGCTCAGCAAACTCCTAAGCATCCTACAGGTATCAGTTTACCTATCATTGCTTCAGGAAACCAAGGTTGTGTTAGGTGCTCTTTCAGCCTGCTCCTGTAGCACCCAGCACTTACTACCCCATCACAGCATTTACTTCACTGTATTAAAATTGCCCTCCTTAATTAAACCGTAACCACTTGAACTGTGTCTCAAATCCCTACTTCTTGCATACTGCCTTGCACAGAGCAGGCACTTTGATAACTGCGGAAGGTAGAAAGGAAAGAAACAAGGGAAAGTCCAATTTATTTGCTGTTTCATGATCATGAACTCTACCCTTAATCCTGATTGACCCTCACAAATGCAAGCGTTGATCACAATGGGAACCAGAAAGTGTAGGGTTCAAGTGATATAAATTCACAATTTTTACTGGGAAAATCACTTAGTGTGATGAAATGACAAAACCTAAAAATGTGGATTTTATTCTAGGCAGAATGAGGCGCTAACGGTTTCTGAAGAAGGGTACATTATGTGGTTCAAGTGATACTCTTGGGAAGATCAACCTAAGGATCCTAAATGGGAATTAAGAGGTTGAGAAGAGAGGCAGAGAAACCAACGATGAATAATAAATTTAATTGCTTGACACAAGATTAACGAACAAAAATGCTACGAAACATTAGAAGATACATCCTTCCACTTGTGACTATAAATGGTATGAGGATGGGGAGAGTGACTGCACGTATTATCTATGCAGCATCTTAATTTAACACAACAAAAAACACCATTTGTCAATACTGAATTTTAATCCACAAGGCCTGCTTTCCTCCCTTTTGTTGTATCTTGACTGCTCCTTACGTTTTCCATTAGAAAAGTATAATGTAAATCTAACCGAAAAAGAATAAGATACTCCTTTTAATTTTCAAAAAAACTTCACACAAAAAACTTAAATGTCCATAAAGTATTTTAAAAGTAGTACTCTTTTCTCAAATTTGCAAATATTTTATGTGGCAATTTTCTGCTGAACTAGGGAACTTGACCTTTACTTTTAAACACATGTAGGTTTTGGAAGAAACATCTTGTGCTTAGTACTTACAGCCCCCTGAAGCATTAAGGTTTATGATCACGTACTAACGTTCCTTACAATTGATTATAGTATCTAGAAATTATCAACCGGTTAATTTTTATGGCTGACATTTTTATGATTAAAAAACAAGCCACCTGTTCGGACACCTTCCCCAGGCTCGGGAAACGCCCTAGCTGCGGGGCACAACCCGCGCGCGGCGGGGAACTGCACGCACAGCGGGCGCAGCTCGGGGCGCCGCGCGCGGCGGGGAGCGAGGGAGCAGGTCAGCGCCGGAGAAACGAGCCGGGAGCGAGCGCGGCGCGCAGACACGCCCCCGCCCGGCGCCCCCGCCGCGTCGCCGGCGGTCCCAGGGGAGGCTGACTGGCGCTGGCCTCCAGCGTCCCCGCGGGTGCGGGGGTGCGGGGGTGCGGCGAGCGAGGGGCAGCTGTCGGGGGTCTTGAGCGCGCGCCCTCCCCTGGCTCTGAAGGACCGCCGGCTCCCGACCCCTCCCCACACCGGGCGTCTGCGAGGGAAGGAGACTGGCTGGGGCTGGCGGAAAGGGCCGTCCCCTACCTGTGCGAAGACGGTGAGGCTGCCCTCGGGGGCCGCGACAGTAGCGCGGCCGTGGTACCATGCCACTCCTGCTCCTGCCAGGGCCACGCCGGCCACTGCCGCCGCCACGGGCCCGGGACTGGGCAAGGCCCGCCGGCCGGCGGCGACTCCGCGCCGCAGTCTTCCGCCCCAGGCCGCCAGCCGAGAGCCTCTAGCCGCAGCTGCCGCCATCTTTACGGAAGCGCCCCATCGCCGCGCCCCGCGCCGCCGCCGCTTCCCACGACCCGAGCGCTCCCGCGCGGCCGCGCATCTCGCGAGCCCAGGGCGGCTTTCGCCCCGCCTCCCGAGCCTGCGTCCTGTATCCGAAAGTCCGGAGAAGTTCGGAGCGGGGGAGGGGCTCGATTCAGTGCCTGGCTTGTTCCGCAGGACGAACGGGCTAACTCGGAAACGGTGCGAACGCTACCGGAACAGGTCCCCCGGTTGAAGATAGCGTGGACCCCCTATTGTGTAGGAAGGCTCCACCTTTTCCGTAGGGGCCGTGTGTCACCCAGTGGGTCACCGGTGGGCGACCTAAGCACCTCTGATAATTGTGGTAACGTGTGTAGTTTGCCTGTCCGATGGGCAGGATGTTAAGAGTGGAATCTCATCCCTAAAGTAGTTGGGGTGTGGAACTGAAAAAGTCTGCATATTCCTGAAAATTAGATTTGCTCTAAATTCCACAAGCGTACCTATATTAAAAATTTCTTAAAGCTGTTTGTATCATGTTAGTCGGAAATCTACATAAGCTGCAGATACTTTCTCACAGGCCCTTTAAAAGGATAGCAGTTAATTCGCCCAGCCTCTGGTAAAAAACCCTTGTTAAAAAATGTGTTCCCCTATTTGTCTCACTTTAACAGCTAGGCAAACTTTTTTTTAATTTATTTTTTAATTGTGTTAAAATATACATAATTACCATTTTTAACCATTTTTAAGTGTACGTTTCACTGGCATTAAGTCTGTTAACATAGTGCAACCATCACCACTGTCCATCTCTAGAATTTTTTTTATCTTGCAAAACTGGCAACAGCAAAAAAATAATGTCTTCCTCATCTATCTTGTTCATGCTTCGTAGTCTCATATTCTTGACTGCTCTCTCATTTTTGTTGAATTATATTCTATCCCAGCCTTCTAATTTTGATGAAGTATTTTCTTGTGAACACCCAGATAGAGCCACTCTATTTCAGGTGTCGACAAAAATAATCCATAACCAATCTATAAATGAAAATTTGGGAGAGTTTATTCTGAGCTAAAATCTGAGGACCATGGCCCGGGGCCTTTCTTCCCCGAAGAAAGAAGAAAGGGCACCAAAGAAGTGAGGTGTACAGAGTGGTTATATACCTCAAAACAGGATGTTTCCCATATGATTGAAATGTCCCTCCCACAATAGCCACAAGATTGCCCTGTCAGCACAGGGCTTGATGGACACAGCAGGTAGTGGGTCTGCTCTCTCAGCGGGCAGGTGTAGCAGGAGGCAAGTCTATTGTCTCGAGCTGGGTGGTCACAGGTGAGCCTGGCAATCAGTTCCTAGCCTAAGGAAAATGCTTAATCCTTAAGGAAATGCCAACGTTGGGGCGGGGGTGGGGGTGGGTGGGGGGGGTGGGGAGGGAAGTTGCACCTTTATCTCAAGTGCCTTTGTTCTTGCCATAGGGAATATCTAAAGTAGATATACAATGCATGCTCAACGGCCATGGTCAGGCCCTTTTGGAAAGACCAGGTCAGGGCGAATTAGGTTTACACCAAATGGCTTCCTCATATACTCCAGCATATCCTATTACTTGCCGTTTTTATTTGTCACAGGCAATCGCTATTTGCTGAATGTTGAATTTAAACTCTGTTCTGATAACGTGTTTGATAGTGTCTATTATCCCATCTCATCCCATTGGAACCAAGTCCAATGCAGCAGCCGCCTACCCCGTGTCCCTATCATCAGGGACCCAGGTGTTTTCCCTAGTGTGGGCTTGGAACAGTACCTCAGTCCTGGTTGTTCCATTGGTCGTAAGAAATTATTTAGCTAAGGCAGATGACTTGGCTTTATTTTGTAGCTTCTGATCCTCCATTTTTTGATCTTTCCTTTTCAGAGTAAATTTACTTAGTAAACTTTGTTTGGTCTGCAATGTCCCTAGTCATTAGAAGCTTTACTTGGGCCTGCAGTAACTTAGAGCCAAAGTCAAAGGTGCCAAGAGGCCTGATCGTATAATCACTGCCATCTTCAAGTTTGTAAAACAAACCAAAAAACCAAAAACAAAAACAAGTGCTACACTAAATCCAATTTGACCACTTAATTCCTTGGATCGTTTTGTCATGATCCGCCCTTAGTTGTTGCTCTCTTTTTCGTAGCCAGCTTGTCTAAATTAATCCTCAGTCAGAGCTTCCTCACTTTTCCCCCAGCTGCTGGAACCACTTTCCTGTGCCTTCCCAGGCAGGAGGTAAGTGGATGAGACTCACTGTGCCCGGATTTGTGAGCCAGACCACAGAGTTTGAATCCTGCTCTACCAGGATCATCACTGTGATTTGGGGCAAATTACTTAATCTCTCTGAGTCTGAATTTTCTCAGCTGTAAACAACTCTGTGGTTTGGGGTTGGTGGACTAAACGAGACATTCTGTAGGAAGTGACTAGCCAAATGCCTGGCATGTGGCAGACTCACCGCAGATGTCAGTTTACCTTCTTTAAGATTTTGCTTACTCCTGCCTTCTGATCACAAATGAGCTTGACTGAATGTCCATGATTCCAGATCACTAGCCTGTCTAACCTGAGATTTTCCTGCTCTTGTGTATCTAGCTTGAAGTCATAGACCTCTGGTCTGTTTTTCACATCTGTTAACTCTGGTAGCTCTTGGCGTATGTCCTGCTTTTCTGGATTATTGACATCTAACTTGTTTCTGTCCCCTGGTGATTGCAGGATTTCTAGGATATGATCTGTCATCTTGGATGTCTTGCCCTGTGGCTTATTCTTTTTCTTTTCTTTCTTTCTTTTTTTTTTTTTTGGTGAAGAAGATTTGCCCTGAGCTAACATCTGTTGCCAATCCTTCTCTTTTTTTGTTTTCTCTTTTTTTCTTCTCTCTTTTGCTAACATCTGTGCCGATCTCCCTCTATTTTGTATGTGGAATGGCTCCATAGCACGCCTGATGAGTGGAGTAGGTCTGTGCTCAGGATCCGAACCCACGAACCCTGGGCGAAGCAGAGTGCTTGGAACTTTAACCACTGGGCCATGGGGCCAGCCCCCATTGTAGCTTATTCCTGATTTCCAGAAACCGTGGTTAAAATGGTAGTGTTATATATATTCATACTGCATAATTCACACAGTTTCTCTACCCATTTAGTGAAACCTCGCATCTATTACTTATTCATGGCCCCAAGACCCAAATAAGTGCATGTTACTATTAGAGCATTTGGCATATTTAAAAATGTATTTTTCCCTCACTTTGATACCCTCATGGCTGAGCATATCTTATTTTTCTGTTTCTTCATCACCTAGCACAGTGCTCAGCACGTACTAGACATTCAATGAATGAAGAAATGAATAAATAGATGGCACAAATAAAACTCTGGAGTATCAGTTTCCATTCTTTGGTCACCAAACATACAGAAATATATTATTACTTCAGTGTAATTTATTTTCCAAGGCAAAAACCTCATTGTAAATTATTTTCTTTTGCTGAAAATCTTTGAAACTACTTGGAAAACTGTGCTTTGTAATCAGTTTTATTGTGTTATGTGCCCGGGTCTCTAAACTCATTAAGATTTAATGTATTCAAACTTTTCTTTTCCAGAGGAAACAAATTCTTTTAATAGAACCAATCTCTAGCCGACTAACCGTTCTAAGAATGAACTCTTCCCTAGCAGCTGCTGACATTTGTCTAAGCACCCTGACTATATTGGTCTTTTTAGGCTCCAGCTTTGTTCATTTCTTCATCACCAGCTGTAGAGAAAGTCCTTGGCTGGGCTTTATTTTCAACCATGCAGTTTATAAGCCAATCTCCAAATAAGGAACTGCTTCTCAAGCTATAAGATCTATGCTGTTTGAAATGGTAACTGGAGAAAAACAGAAACAGTGATCGTTTCATTCTTAATTCTTACTTCACTTAATCATTCTTAGTCCACTTATTAATCATTCTTAGTTCACTTACTCTGTGCTCTTTTTCTCTAGGAAGGTCAAAAGTTATATGGAAGAAAAACTGTTCTGAAGGGGCTTTACTTTCACTGCAGGGACCAAGCCTGCATTTCAAAACAATGCAAGATGGCATTTAACAGTCGTCCCTTACAGAGGAGGAAGAGGGTGGTGGGCTAGAGAGATCAGAAAGGCAGCTAGGGAAGAGAGGAGACTTGATCTGGAATTTAGAAAGTGAGAGCGGTTTGGACAGGTAGAATCCGCCAAGACTGGAGGAACAACAGGGTTGAGAGGACAGGAGAGAACTAGACACGGTGTGTGTTTACATGGCGTGGAGCAGAAGGCCTGGTTTAGGGCTGATCTTGAGTGGCTTGAGGGCCATAAGGGGGTCAGGCAATAATTTCCACCGCTAATGGAACACTTATCAGCTCTCTTGACCCTCTACACGTTTGTCTTTGGAATATTCATGCCTCCTTTCTGGCATCCCCACCCACCTTGTGCCTGATCTCCTCCTCTGCATCTCAGACACTCTACCCAGTGGTTGTCTTCTGCCTGTCAAGATTTTATCCTGGCCTTCCTTGCCCACTATCCCATGGGCTTCTCCAAATTATATTCCTTCCTACTTACAACTAAAACTTTGTTTTTCTCTGGGTTACTGGTCTTGAAAAAGGAGATTGACTACCTTTTCTTATTGAAGACATTCTATTGTATGTCCATTTTAAAAGACTAAGTTTTAACTCAAATGCATCTTTACTCTTAGTATATGTGGGGAAGATAAAAATTGCTATCCTGATTCTGAAAGATTATTTACTGTTATATTACAGAATAATATATATTAAGATTGATTATCCTAGGTGGAGGAGAAAAAAATATGGAGGCTCTCAAAAGATAAATTAAAGAGGTTGGACTCAATCCTATAGTAATGGAGTAAACGACATATGAATGGACGTAATTAAAGAACCATTGCTTGGAATAGACAGAGATTAAACTATATTTATGGTGGATAATTGTGTAGCGGAGGGTATGAATCACTCTCAGAGGCCCTCGATGAGTCAAAAGAATCGCTAATTATGTCTTTTCCGTGCAGTTTGGGGCCTTGGGTAAAAATATCTGGGTATCTTGATTG